TTGTTTGTTTGCTTGCTTGCTTGTTTGAATGATTGTTTGTTTGTTTGTTTGTTTATTTGTTTGTCCTTTTTGTTGTTTGTTTGTTTGTTTGTTTGTTTGTTTTCTTGCTTTCTTATTTGTGTGTGTGTGTTTTGTTTTGTTTTTGGTTGTTTGGTTGGTCCCTTGGTTTGTTGCTGTGTCTGTTTGCTTGTTTTTTTTTTAATTGCCTGTTTGGTTGTTTGTTTGTTTGTTTGTTTGCTTGTTTGTGTTCTTGGTTTCTTGGTTTCTTGTTTCTGTGTTTGTTTGCTTGTGTTTTTATTGTTTGGTTGGTCGGTTGGTTTGTTGCTGTGTTTGTTTGTTTGCTTGTTTTTGAGACTCCAAGGCATTTTCACTGGCCTATAGCATGGAGATGATCAATGGTTTATGTGGATTGGTGGTAGTAACAACGATGGAGTACTTTGAATCATTCCCGTTGCAGTGGACGCTGCATGCAGAGATTGGTCGCAGAGCAGATGCCAAAACCAGCTTTGTGATTGCCTTTTTGGTGGCCTGTTTTGATTCAAGGAGAAGCCACGAGGAAATCACCCATCCTGTGGTACAGGATCTGAGGTTAAAATGGAGCTCTGGCAAACCCAAGCTTCCCCAAGCCCTGGGAAGCTGCTGGGTCAAAGGTGGGTGTGGCCTACACTGGGACTCTTAAAGAGGGAGGCATGTGGTGCGTCACCCAAATTGCAGGTTCCATCCGTAAAAACCGTGCTTCTTGGTGAGTAAACCGACATCTGGAAAAGATCGGTTGGCAACCTACCTCCCATTGACGCGTGTTTTGTTCCCTGTCACGTTTCCGAAGTCCAACCATTCAACGTGCTACACGAAGTCGGGAGGCCTTGGCAGCCTTGGCATGTGCCAGGCCGGCTCGCTTTCTTCGCAGGCAGGGCGCGGCTGGGGCGATTGCCCGATCGCAACGTCCAAGGCGATGACTGCCGTGTGGCAGCACCCCAAGACTCAGAGAACCCTTAATAGGAAAGGCCCCCTTAACGTCCAAACCACCAAACCACACCACCAATTAGAGGGAAGCTGAAAGACCCTTGTTTGAAGGGCGCTTCTGTTGGAGAAAGCTCTACTCCTTGCCGAGGGATAGTCATCCCGCAACCAGCTGTCAACGGTTTGGGGCGTTGCCGTGCCATGTGAAGCGAAAGTGACCCCTGTTCGCAACTTCCATTTGCTTAAGCAGATTGTTGTGCACTCCTGTTTGTTTTGAAGGGAAATGGTCATGAATGGTAAATGCCTATATATATATGCATGTATGTCATGCTTAGTGGCATCAAATGGACATGGAAGATAAAGGTTCAACCTGCTCTACGCTAAGACCGCACCGCAGGTTTGAAGTCATGGGGACCGTCCCCCGAACCGTTTGCTTGGCCATGGTTCGAACTGTTTCCTGGGTTCTCCCGATACTGAGGAGTTCTCCACAAAAGTCTTAGAGTGATTGAGATTTGGATCAGAATGACATCGGATAAGGAATTCTTAGACATCCAAACTGCAACAACCAACCACTTTTGAGGGTGTTCGCATGATACCCATATCCCAGTTGCATTTGGTAGTTTTGAAACATCTTCCAACAAAGGAACCCTCAATAACAGGGACATGCCTCCATTGGGCGCCGACGGAAAGCAAATCCCACGCTCCCCCCTTCTTCCTTCGCGAGGCCTCGAGGTTTCTCCAGGCGACAGAGAATGCCATCAGGCAGCCGCGATCGTGATGAATATTTGTTTGCTTCTTATTCGATCCAGCCTTTGAGTTGGTCTTTATTGGGAAAGCAGGAAGACGAAACCTAGGCCCTAGACCCACCCTAAAAAGTCGGCTCGTAGCTTATCCGACATAAAACCTAAACCCACCCTCTCAGCCTAAACCCACATCACGCCATCCGTGGATCAAGCCAACCTTGAAGAATCATGAACAAAGGCAATCCAACCCATCCTAAACGAGCACTAAACAACTCTAAAGCAAGCTTAAACCAAGCCTGCAATCCCATTCGAAATTGACTATAATTCCCGCCTTAAACCAATCCTAAACAGCCTGAATCAAACCTAGACCCAACCTAGACTAGACTCACCTAGTCTAACCCTAAACCCTTAACAGATGAAACAACCCTAAATCCACCTCAACCTTACACTAAACCAACCCTAACCTCACCAGTTCTAGTTTGGACGTAAACAATAGCAAACAGAAAACGCGCCCACCTTCAAAGTTGAATTGGGAGTGGAATTCCCTTGACGATCCAATGCCCCCTTTTGTGGAAAAGACTCGGAAAAAAAGAGAGGGAAAAACACAACTCGGAGGGACAATGTCAGCTTCGAAGTAGTCTCCAGGATCATCCTAGTCAGGGCAGCGCTTAACACAATTTGGATTGCGGTGTCAAAGGACAAGGAAAAGCTACAACGGCCTTTATTGAAAGAGGCTGGTTACAGGCACACCAATATGGGTATTGTAAAAACTGCCGGACCTTAAGCCGGTTGATTCTCTTTTGTTTCCCTCAAAACAGCCACCAAACATTTAGAAGGGGGGGGTTCTGATTTCAGCACACTCCCATACACAGTCTTCAAAAAGCAGCATTGCCATTCTGCCGATGTTGTGTGGATTGCTGACAGATCTTTGCGAGAAGTAACCGCTCTCATTCGCAGGGAAAACGTAGCAGTCAATGTCAGCCAATGCTGGCTAGAGCTTCGTTCCGATGCTGATGTGTTCCAGCTCCAGCGCTGGAACAGCCAAGTTGAGAGTATTGCACGCCAAATTGAAACTAAAGTGACAAACCCTTGATGATCAAATGGGGAGCCCTGTTGGGACCCTTTGAACGGCAGCGGAGAATGACACGAAGCTCGCAAAATCGACCCCCTATTTTTGACCCCCCCCCCCCGCCATTTGCAGCATGTTCACTCTTGCCTTTGGGGCTATTGGAGGGGAAAGTTCGAGCCAAGGAATGCCATTATGAATCTAGAACGCGCATGTTGCTGAAATGAAACAGCCCAGAAATGTTGTCTTTCTGAACAATCAAAGCCAGGGTTGTGGGATCAAGGGGTTTTCCCCCACTTCTGTGATACAAGGGAATCTCCCCTTTTATATTGGCCCTTTTGGTTGTATCACAGAGGTGGGGGGACAAGTGGGCATTTCCCACAGCCCTGAGCAAAACCTGGGGTCTGAGGTTTAAACATGGAACCGGACAAAGTTCCATCGCAGGAAGCTACGGGAGCGGCTGAAGTGAGCTGGGAAAGCATGGAGAAAGGTTGAACAAGATGCGGCGACCCCCAAATACTCCATCCACACCTCATATTTCCCACTTGCCCAGTGGCGTTTGTTTTCTTCTCCGTTTTTTGGGAAGGGTTCCCCTTGAAACCCAACCAACCGAAAAAGGATGCCCCTTTTTCTCCCTTGGCCACTGGAAATCTGAGTATTTACCCCCATGTACCCTCCAAATGGGTTGAATGTTGCTATGCTATGATTGTGTGGGACCTGGGTTGTTGACCTCCGCATTGAGACCTGTTGGCTACAACCCTATCTGCAAAATCCAGAGCAGGAGACTGGTACAAATTAGCTCAGCATATCCCATTGATCAACCAAGCGAGCCCCGCTTTGAACCCTAAAGGGGAGCCATGATGGAAGAACATACATCCAGGTACACATCAAACTCAGGGCACGGCAGCAACGGCATGTTTTGCTACTGGACTCAACGTTTCCCATATGTTATGGATGCGCGGAGACAAAGGCGCAAGTCCTTTGAAATTCCCCATCATTGTGAAGCAGAAAGAGCTGCTCCCTAGATGCAACTGATTCCCTTCGTGCCATGTTGAAACTATGTCAGTCTTTGACCCCAAGCCAAACATGCGGAGAAAGAGCAATTTTCCCAGACTATGAAACCAAAGCATTTGGACGGGAGTCCCATCTTTCACCTCGAGTTTTCGGCATTACAAGATACCTGTCACCGAAGCCTCTTTTAAGTGGAGCCACGGCTACTGCATCGGCCGCACTGGTCTCTGGTCCCCTTTCAACCGGAGCCCAACGAAGTTTTCCCCGTTTCAAGGAAACCAGCCGGGGGGGGGGGGGGTTGTATAGACACCAGTTGTTTTTCAAATCGTGGTAACAGGTGGCTGGCATGCAACTTGGGCTTGAAAGGAGCACGACAGGACCACAGCAAAACAGGCGTTCAACGTTTTGAGATAGCAAACTAAAGGCAGGTTGTCACCTTCAAGGTGCTGTGGCAAGATGGTCCGATTGGCCTGAAAGGAGAGTGCTGATATGCTCAGGGCAAACAGCTTCTTGAAGCAAGTTGGTGTCCTACGACGAAGTCTCCTGCTCCAACCAGGAACGGGCATATTCAAGGATGCGGCTGACCGGAGGCTGAAAGCATTCAAATCTAATACCACATGCTGAAGCAACAATTTGGTTTGTGTTGTTTCAAGTCAGGCTCAACCGTTGGTTGCCTCAGAGGCGGGATGTTTGTGCTGGGGGCGGTCCAAGCGACCATCCGGCGCACCCAGCCCCTCGCAGATTTAGGTCGCACTTTGCCAGCGCCGCTTTGCTCGGCCAGATGAGTTTGCAAAGCATTGCACTAATGCATGGCCAGCTCACGTTTGAAACGAGGCCCAACGGCCCAAAGTGAAAGTCCTTTGCCTATGGATGCCATGGTCGGTGATACATGGTCAATAGTGCAGATTGCACTGACCACCTGAGTTCCTCAGCTTGTGTTCTGAGTGACGCTTCAGGAAACGATGGCATGAAGGCACGGATGACATCCACGCGAGAACCGCGCCTCCAGTGTCCGCAAAATGCCATGGTGCGCGCTGTTTGCGACCTCTACGCCATTTTGCAGCTTCCCAAGGCCTGACCAAAGTTGGAATTGGGGGCACCAGAAAGGTGGGACTACGTTCTGAATAGGAATTCAAGAGAAAACACACGGTTTTGCTTGGGTTTAAAAGGGAAACACCCCTTTGAGGTGGTGCTGAATGGGAAATCCACTTGTTAGTTGGTTCCTCAAGGTGAAACATTCGGGGGGAGGGGTGTCATTTTGGTTTCCTTCATATCCTTGCAACGCACACAAATTGACGAACAACTTACATTGTTTGTCGTATTGCCCTTTTGTGTTTCCTTCATGTTCCCTTTCGAACAAGTACAAATACACGAATGGCTCACCTGTTTGTCCCTTTTTTCCTTCTGTAACCGGCGACAAGTGTGTTTTGCCCTTGACCCAGCCACAAGCTCCCTCGGCAAATGTTTGTTCCCTTGAACCAGCCAGAAAACTTCGGAGTCCCAAACACCTCCCACCAACCAGTCCCCAAAGCCCTAAGTGTCATGTGTCATGATGTTCAACAATGGACTGAACTTGCTTGAATGTTTGAGTCAGAAAAAAAAACGGAAAACATGGGTCTGCAACCGCAATCTCTAAAACAGAGGGACAAGAACGCCTTTGATCCAGTTGTTTTGTGCTCTCAGGACTTCTCGGAGCCAGAGCTGCGGAGGGCCTACCGGCGCCAGGCGCTGCTGCGGCAGCCTGGAAAAGCTGAAAGGCGGAAAGCTTCAAAATGTTCGAAGGCTCAGCCCCGAAGGGGTGGCAAGGGGATGTTCCACTTTTGGGGTTGTGAAAATGGAAGGCCATTGGTGGGCTCCGATTGTTTGAGGATTTTTGTCTTGAAAAGTGAGGCAGCCCCCAAAGTGGCGTCGCTGGGCCGGTTGGTTTCATTGTAAAGCGGCCCGAAAAAGGGTCCCCTCAAAACAGATACACACTTGATATGAGACGGCAACAATGCAAGGGCGCATCCCCAAGTACCTGAAAAGTGGAGTTTCGTCAGCTAGCCTTCCCGATCTGTTCGCTCGCCGCGGCTACTCGTCAGTGCCCATGACTACCGCGACGAGGTACTAAGAAAGGGGTCGGTTTGCTGGCATGGGCATACTCCAATAAAGAGAGAGAGGCACGACCGCAGAACCCCTTAGGAACAGGGGGGCCACACACACACACACACACACCTCTTTGGTTGGACAGGGTTCCCTGTAAGTATTGGTGATGTGTGTTTTTTGGATGCGCGGTTCCTAAATTGTACGGAGACTGCATTTACAGTGGGGTTTTCCTTTTTGTTTTTCCCTTGAGGGGAGGCTGGTCGATAAGTTGTTTGGGGAAGAGCAGCTACCCTTCTCCCACTAACGTAGCGCCTGTGAGAGGGTACCTGCAAAAAAACACACGATTTCTTCAAGGGACCCTCTGTCAAGTCCCATGTTAGTGGGAGGGATGCGATGTAAAACACGTCGATCAGCTCAGGCACCCAGACAAGGGCGGTAGCGCTGTGGACTTCCAGAGGCGGGCGATCTTCGAGTTGATGGCCGCCCTAGCGGCTGCGGGAAAAGGGGGGGGGGGGATTGGTTTGAGCAAGTGGCGGATTCCGGTCGCGGGTTTTTGTTTTCCAGAACTTGTTTGTTTGCGTCTTGCTTGTTTTTCCTTCTTTTTTTTAAAAGTTGTTGTTCTTTGCCAGGACAGGAGTTTAAGCTAGTGCGGTTACAAGGCTAGTAGACATGCGCAACCTTCAGAGATTAAACTTGTTGGTCCCCGAAACCAGGATCGGCGAAGACCCCGTTGGGAAACGACAAAGCTGACGGTTTCGTTTCCGCTTCCCCTCGAAAGGGCCTGGATCACATACCCACGACGGGTGCTTGCGAGGGGAACGTATCAACCTCCAGTCAGGTTCTATGTATTGGTTGGTACCCGCACAACTTTCGCGAAACTGCGGGATGAAATCTTTGGCTGGCGGAGGCATTCATTGGGGCTTACATATGAAACATGACCTAGCAATAAAAAGAACTGGTGTTGGCCGGTTGTTAACTGATCATGGGTGTCCTCGACACTAGAAGGGGTTCCCACAAAGAAGACAGACACCAGAAAGGGCTCATGTGGCGCACAAATCTTGCCAGACCTCCTTGCAAGCCTTTATCCTTTGCTGCAGGAGGGTTCCAAAAACACGGACCCCAAATGTACGTGACTCCCAACTGTGTCTAAGCCACTTCTGGAATTTGCAGAGCAATCCAACCTCTTTCGCAGTTCTGCCCTCGCACCGCGTGCCTCTCAGGGAAAGACAGTTGCAGTGAAGTCTTTAGATGAGCCGCAGTAGACAGCCAAGCTGACAAGAGTGCTTCGGGCAGTGTGTTGGAGTCTTCATGCTCAAACTTCAAGAGGTTTGTGAGCCAACTCGACGACTCTCACTCTGAGCGTGTCAGAGTGTTTTACAGTGCACCAACGGTTTGCATGAAGGATCGCGGGAAGCGAGCTTACCAATGCAGTCCATTTGCTGATCGAAAGCAGCAGCAAAGCGAAGATTGGTTTCGCAATGACATCATTTCCCTCAGCCAGCCCAAACGCGGCTCCCTCCCAAAAGAAGACACCAACCCAAAGCGGCTCCCTCCAACAGCTGGGCTTTCCGGTACCGAGCAAAGATTTTCGGGACCGAGTGACGTGTCTCACGGGGGCGATCCGCCCGGATCGAGGCTGGTCCTCGCCTTCGAGGTCCTTTCGGACGCCAAAGCCCGCGCCCCGCGGCGAAATTTGTGGCAGGCGGATTTGGGGCTGCCAGGGGTGGGGGATTTGTTTCTCCTTTTTTTTCCCGGGGGGGGAACTCCCGTCCCCCAGTATTGCCCTTTCTCATCCCTGTTTTGGTTGAGAGGGTTCCCCTGCTAAGATAGACTACAGAGAAAAGGGTACCCTTCTAACTTCTCTGGAGGACCTAGCCCACAAAAAGGGGTGTTTCTTTTTGGATCCTTTTCAAACAGCCAAACAACGGGTACTCTCAAAAGGAGGCAGACTCATGTGTTCTGCGGCTGCGCTTTACTTTGAGGGTTCCATGGTTTGTTGTCGACACTGAAACCCGGGTGGTTGATCTAATCGAGAACCCGCTGGGTTTGTGTCAAGGAGTGTAAGATTGAATCCAAAAATGGGAGTCCTCATCCTGAATCCTAGCCTTGAGTTGCGAAAGTTGCATTGCGCATCTGGATTGTCCAGCCCTCCGTTATCATCCCTACTTATGGTATCGTTCGGGATGTCGTTGCTTTGCTTGTCCCTTGTTGCCATCCTCTGTTGTTCTTGGCTGCCATCGCATTGCTTTAGATTTTTGAGATCGTAGAATGGTGTTTGATCAAAACTCACCACAATAGATATGTTTTTTGGAATGGTATAGTTGTCAAGACTTGATTCCGGATGTCGTCCTTTTTGACCTGCAATGCCCAAGCTGTGTAGAGTGCAACTTTAGCCTCCAAAAGAGCAGTTGGGTTTCACCAAGGGCCCCGGCTCATTCAGATCCACAGTGAGAGCAGAATGAGTAGTTTCCTGACTCTAGCAAGCACCCACAAGGCAGTTTAGGGCATTTGTTGGGCATTCCCTCTTTTCATATCCTGTGTGTCAAGGCTTTTGACGGGACTTCCAGCACTGTCTCCTGTCCTCTGAGAAAACACGTCCCCCGGCACCGCGGAGGGAAACGGCTTTTGTGACTCAGATTTGCCAAGTCTCTCCGGCCTCAGGTTGAAGATAACAGGCGAAAAGAAGCCAGGCAACCCTGACGTCGACCATCCCTGCAAGCCGTTTTACGGCCAAGGAGCAGCCCTTCGCTTTAGCCAAAAAGAGTCCACCTGCACCCAGCACAGTCCATCGACCAAACCGAGGAGAGGTACGACCGCAGGCTCGCGCGCGCCCACGCCAGCGCTGCGGATGCTGCGGCCTCAAGGAAGCGCAAGGGCCGAGAAGCCCGAGGCGATGCGAAGGAGAAGCCAAGCGACCGCGCCCGGGCCAAAACAGGGGTAGAGTTGGTTGAGGTGAAGCCCGGTTTAGCTGGTTCAAGGTTGGTGTAGGATAGTCTCAGCTCAGGGTGGGTGTGTTTTGTTATTTTGTTATGTGTTCCTGTTTGGGGGTTGTTTGAAAGGGACACGGATGGAACATCGCTGCGTTTGGGGATTTCACCGGTTGGAGACAAACCCAAATGCAAACAACATCCAAGAATGGGATTCCATGAAGCAGAGAATGGATGGTTGACACCTTCTGATATCCCATTGCACGTATCCCCACCAACCATTGCTCTGAAGGGTGTTTGCTTGGAGGCGGGCACGTTTTACCAAAACCTGTGGTGGAGGAGTCCATCGTGGAGGAAGCAGGATCCTTTCTTGTGGGCTATGGGAAGTAATTCCTTTTTTGGTGCGACACACCACTGGATGACCTTCCCACAAACTTTCTTGTCACTTAAAAGAAAGGTCGGGGTGTTGGGTGTTGGGGTGTTGGGGTGTTGAGGTGTTTTGGTGTTGGGGTGTTGGTGGTGTGGTGCGGTGCTGCGGTGCTGCGGTGCTGCGGTGCTGCTGTGCTGCTGTGGTGCTGTGGCGGGGTGGTGCTGTGGTGCTTTGGTGGGGTGGTGATGTGGTGATGTGATGGTGTGGTGGGGTCGTGGGGTGGTGCGGCGGCGGCGGCGGCGGCGGCGGCGGTGGTGGTGGTGGTGGCGGTGGTGGTGGTGGTGCAGTGGTGCTGTGGCGGGGTGGTGCTGTGGTGCTTTGGTGGGGTGGTGCTTTGGTGGGGTGGTGGTAGTGGTCGTGGTGGTGCGGTGGTGGTGGTGGGGTGGTGCGGTGGTGGTGGTGGTGGTGGTGGTGGTGGTGGTGGTGGTGGTGGTGGTGGTGGTGGTGGTGGTGGTGGTGGTTGTGCGGTGGTGGTGGTGGTGGTGGGGTGGTGCGGTGGTGGTGGTGGGGTGGTGGTGCTGGTGGTGGGAGGGTGGGGTGGTGGGGTGGTGGGGTGGTGGTGGTGGTGGTGGTGGTGGTGGTGATGGTGGTGGTGGTGGTGGTGGTGGTGGTGGTCGTGGTCGTGGTCGTGGTCGTGGTCGTGGTCGTGGTTGTCGTCTTCGCGGCACTCTGCCGTGCTTGTTTTGGGAAGGCGCGCTGCAGCACACCTTCAAACCAAGATGTGCACTACTTCCAACCACTTCCGTAACTTACCATCCCAAATGGCCAGCAGAAAGAA